TGACTTGAAGGCATGCACACACACACACACACACACACACACACACACACACACAGAAGTGAGTTCAGTCTCAATTCCATCTAAAGATCAATGTATAGCTACTATTTCATTTAGAGGCTTAAAATAAATTTACATGTAATGAAATGAATATAAAACACAGGAAAATGTATTGGCAATTCTACCAATACTGGTATCATTTAAAAAAGCTGACTACTATTAGTTTAATCTATTTCAATACTTCAGGTTGATCTGCATGAAGAAAGTAAATTGACACTTGCTGATTAATCTGTAAATTTAGCCTGTATTAATTAAAAATTACATTTCTATTGTAATTGTAGATGATGTGAATAAACCTTAGCATCTGAAAAAAGGAATGTATATGAAGAATACAGTGCAAATTTACATTATTATTTTGTACTGATAAGATGAGCACTTTCTCCAGATACTCATTTTGAGAAATACTCTCATTTTAACATACAATTCGCTGTTTCTTTCTTTACACTAACCTATCACTAATAATAATTATTAAAATGAATACTATAAACCCAGCATAATGGAAATGAAAGCCACGATTTAATTTGTATGTTTGTAGTCTTCATTAATTCAAAGTCCTTCCAATGTGTTGGGAATAGGAATCCAGTACACCTGAAGGTCCTCAGGTTGGAAATGGATGTTGTAATTTTTGTAGAGACTAAAAATTTAAAATAAATTTAAATGTTTGTGAATAATGGAACATGTAAATTTTATTTTATAAAAGAGTAAATATGTCCCCATTCAGTCTTTGCCTAACTTTGCTGAATATTAATATGTCTACATACTTTTTTTTATTGAACAGAAACAATAAAGGAACATGTTAATATTCATATCTGTATGAATATTTATTTACTTTATTTGTATGCTTTATTAAGTATCAAATGCAATAGCTTATGTATGGTTACAGGACACAATTTAACCTCCCAATAACTTTTTCTTTGACCATCCATTAGTAAGTCCCATGTTTATTCCTTGCGTAGTTTGTGTGTGTGCGTGTGTACAAGGTAGCACTAATATAGTAGTGAGTACAAGCAAGTTATTCCTACTGCTCTAATTACAGTATTATAAATCACTGCTGGTGCCATTCCTCTGCAATTGATATATACATCATATTATCATTAGACTTAATTAGACAACAGCATTTAATATTTCTAGATTATATTATCATCACTTACATGGGCATTTATTTTAAAAAAAGAACCTGAAATCACCACTAATGTGTCTGACTGGATTCTTACCTTCAGGACTCAAGGAAGGAGATACTTCAGGCACACCATTCACATTGGAAGAAGATTCACAAGTGGGGAGAATCTGTCAGCAGAAAAAAGAGCTAATGCTATAGCAATAACATACATCAAAATCACATTGTGAAACAAACTAAAATATTTAATATATATTAAATATTTAACAACTATTATTTAATATTTCTGAACTACAGTTTCAGTCATCCATCAAACGACAAATAAGATTTTATTGTTAGAGAATTCTAACACCCCAAAGACATATCTCTTTGTATCTGTTAATACATGGGTTTAGCTTCAATCTATATATGTAAACTCAAATTAAATATCAGGCTCCTAAATAACATCCAAAATATAATTTTCATCAAATGCAAATAGACACAGATTAAATCTAACCGTATTACTAATCGGGTCTGATTTTTCTTAGCTTTTTACGATCAGACAAGTTTGGCTAGATACTGCCATCTGTGGTTGGCAATCCTGTTTTTTATTAAAGCATTATCACAACTTTTCTAGGGAGAGAGAGACTGACTTCCATGTTCTGTTTTAGCTATATCTTCTGTGTATATATGATATTTTTCTTCTGTCCAATAAAGCAATGTTATGTTTATGAAGTTTCTGCTTCAGAAACTTTAGTTTTTGAAAATGGTATTGAATGGAGTCAAAATGTATTGCTGTGCCTGGTACACAATCTGACAACAGCATTCATTCACCAATTTTCCCACAATATCCTTTTGATATAAGTTTTCCTGAACTAGAATGATTGGCCTAAACACAGTGAACTTCCATGGCAGAGGGTGGATTTGAATCTGTTTCTCCTGTCCTAATCCAACACCTCAATCACTACACTATACTGGCTTCTAGGTCACCCATCCTATTCTGCCCTACCTTACCCAACAATTCTGTCTTTCTCTGTCATCTTCACTCAAGACTAAACATACTATCCACTCTTCAATATCTTTTCATTGGACTTGCATTCTAATTCCATGATAATCCTTGTCATAGTTTGCACATTCTGTTAAGTATGCTTTCTTCAGTATTGATTTGTAGATTGACCTCTTCCAATCTTTTGGACACTGTATTGTTCTCCAGATTTGGAATAGTTGGTTAGAGCCTTTACTGACTCTTTTCCTCTTCCTTTAATCTTCTGACTTGGTAATGATTGGAGTGCTCATCTAACTTCATATTCTAGTACTGGAGGTTCCATAAACAGGGGCTGTCTTCTGAGGTATTTGGATGTAAACATTTCTACTGTACAAAATATCACTGTACTTCTTCATCTTTGGTTGAATCTTCTCTGAATCAGCTACAAACTGTTCATTGGTGTCCCTTAGTATACCAGATTGTGGTAAGAACCTTCTTCTGAGTCTGTAAATCTTTTGGAAGATTTTTCTTGTTTTTCCATGCCTGTTTCTATCTGCAGTGGCATTACAGATGTAATACTGCTTCTTGTCTCTTCTAAAAACTTTCTGAAATTCTTTGTTAAGTTCCTACTTGAAATCTTGTCTTTCTTGGCTTTGGCTTCTCCTTATCTAGGCAGTTTTCACTGTTTGTTCTGACATACAGTTTGCTTTCTTTTGTTTCAGAACTTGATACTCAATAGATAATTAAAGCCTCTCTAAAGAGCTCTGAAAGAGTTTCATCCAGGACATTAACTGTATATCATATCAATGTTACTATTTCTCCTCCCATACGGGCCTGAGGAATCTGTAACATTACTTTCTTTTCTATAAGTGAGTTTAGTAGTGCCATCAGTGCATCAGGATAAAATCAGGATTTTATGGTATAATAGTTATATTGTTTCTTTCATATACTGGCTTGTAATTATATTGGTGTGACATAATTTTTTAATGAATCAACACATCTGCTGATGAGCAAAAATGAAGTTTCAGATAGTTTATAGTAAACTATTTCTTTACCAAGTAGGTTTTGAGTGGAGCATATGTGTTGTATTTTGCAATTGCACAAATAGGTGACTGCAAACAAACAGAGTGTTTTAAGGTCAATTCTTAAACAATCACAATGTAAGATTCTATAGGCAATTATGTCACCAGAAGTATCCAATGAACTAGACAGATTACCTTGCATCACTGTCATTGGCCATCATTTTGTTATTTTGTCCCACGCTTATAAAAAAAGATCTCTACTATTACACTACACACTTTTCAAATAGTAAAAACTAATTCATGGATAAAGGAACACTTTCAAGGAAACCAGCGAACATACTTATCAATTTCAGACTGATTCAGACCTTGTTGTATTTTTGAAGTGCACAAATTCATTTTGGACAGTTTCCCATAAACAAGATGGTCGGGAATATATCGGGTAATGACAATCTTATCAAAAGCTGTTTTCTGATGCAGGTTTTTTTTTTAATATTACTCAGATTCAGAGCATAATTTTCAAAATGTTGAATTTTCATCATTTATAATTTTTGTTAACAGGTAGTATTTTAATCAGTCCAAGTAAGAAAATAAATAATTTGGTAAATGAAATAAATTGCTAATAAACTATGAAATATGAAAATATGAAAACAAATTCTGACAAACCAAAAAATCCAGAAACTTAAAGTTTTTATTGTTATTATTTTAATCCCAATAAAATTATTATTTTATTGTATTTAATCCTGGGATTAAATATAATAAAAACAATACAATAAAAACAATACAATAAAAACAATAACAACTTTAAGTTTCTGGTTTTTTTGGTTTGTCAGAATTTGTTTTCATATTTTCATATTTCATAGTTTATTAGCAATTTATTTCATTTACTATATTATATTCCTCTTGTGCTACCTCTATGGGCGAAAGCTCAAATGATCACACAATAGAATTAATAAAGGCAATAAAAGATGAAATTGTGTTTACTGACCACTGACTCAAGTAACACAAAATCTCTAACAATAAATCAGAAATAATTCAATAATTGTACTTCATGAAATAATACTACAATAATGTAATTCATTATAAAGTAAATACCACCTAAAGTTGAACTCCTCTGTAACTGTATGGTCAAATTGATGATCAAACCAAATTATTTATTTTGTTATTTTGACACATTCTAGTGAGAATTACCATAATGAAACAAATAATATACTGAGTTCAATTAGAAAAAAGTGAGACAAAACAAGCAAGCTTCATGAAAGTAAGCGCAAAATGGAATCAAGACATAATTAGCTATAATATAGGACATACTCAGTAGCTTCTAATAGTAATTGCAATAAAAGTTTTGCAACCTTCCTAGACACAGGATGGTGGCTTTCACTTGAATCCTAAGGCTGGTGGATGTCTTGAGCTCAGGAATTCTAAATTGTAGTGGGCTATGTTGACTCCAACCCTACTAAGGTCAACATCACCATGGTGACTTTTGTGGAACTGAAGGTGTGAACTGCCCAGGTTGGAGACAAATTATTAAACAGGTGTTTTTCACCAATCTTGAAGCCAATATTCTAAATGTAAATAAATATTCGTATTCCCACATAATAATTTAATGAAACAGATGAAATTATATAAAATATACCTTGAGTCCCCGAAAACTTCCAGGGCTTGTTGGTGAGGAACTAGATGATTTTGTTGATTTAGGAGTAGAAAGCTGGCTGCTGGGGGCTCCATTGACTAATGAAAACAAAAGAAGAGAAATGAAAATGTTATACAATAATATAAAAGTTGGAATTCTGGTATAGAGGTGATGGTTTAAATTTATCTACATTAATAGTGTGGACATATTCCTCTGGTGATACATAATATGATAATTATAAATAGTTCAACAGGATATGCTTGTCAAGGAGTTGTTAAATCCCCTGTTCTCCAATGCTTGTGTTCATCGCTTTTTTCAGAGAAAAGCACTTATTTTTTCTGCTTGCTTTCAATGGTTCATTGTATCCAAAGCCTTTTTTCCCCAGTGAATTCTCTCTCCTAAGTCCTTTACCTTGGACATCCTTAGCACTTGACAAAAAAAGTCTTCCTTGGTATGTCAAATCAAGCTTCAGTACTACCTTTTCCAGACTGGTATCTTCCATTTATATTATGACCACAGCTCCCAGATTTTTTAGATTGCAAACTGGAAAGGCTGTTTTTAAGAGCTTTCTTCTGTATTGTACTGGTAACAGCTGGTAGCCTACCTTGTATTGGCATTATGTGAGTGTTTTGCTTCTTGTCTCCTAAGTTTTTATTGTTCTACTATAAAATGTTCCATCGAGTACCTCTTCTCAAGAAAAATGAATTTTAGAAACTGTAAATTCCTATTGTACATCAGGTACCTGGGGCAGTCTGATTGACTAGGCCTTGCAGCGAGGACTGTAATGGTACATGGAAATGACCTTGGGAGACAGGGCAACGAGATGCAACCAAGGGAACAATCAGATAAAAGGTAGGTAAGCCCACAGCAGGAATGTGGACAGGGCAAGAGGCTCAGAAGAGACCCTCCCTAGGTTTTGGGCTGTAAGGGGGACAGGGGGAGAGAAGTACTTTCAGACTTGCAAGATTTTGTTAATGTAACCTTACAATAAAGTAGAATTGGCTCACCTGGTCATGTTTCCTGTCTGATCTATCTAATAAGGCTGACAGGAACAGACACAGAAACCTGCAGGGTTATCAGGGAGTTCTGTCAATGATCCCCCAAATTGAGTACATCCCAATTTGATGCAGAAAAGACAAATATAACACATGACAAGGATTCTTATAGGACCATGTATTTGTTCCTACATGTGATGTATAGATACTTTACTACTCCTGATTCATAGACTGGGAATGGGGTGGGAATTACAATTCATGACTTTCTGTAATACCATACCCAAGCATCAAAAGAAATTTACAAACTGGAAATAAAGGGAAATTTTAGTTAATTAACAGCTTCTTTTTTATTGTCTTACTTTCCAGTGCCACCTGTTACAATTTAGTAAGTTGGATAAAGAAGGGAAGAAAAGGCAAAGATGAATTTGTTATGTCTCCCAGGCTTAGTCACTGTAAGACTTCTAAATCATTCTCAGGAATTCCCCCTAAAGGTTTTATCTAGAAAGCATCCTTATCTATTTCTCAGTCTGTGATAGACATAAAGCTAGGCCTTAAGTACTACTAAAACATTATGCAATTTGCTAATTTGTTGGTTAAGCATGATGTGCAAACTTATCCTAAGACAGAAACTATGGGTATTTTTCGGCAACATAAGATAATTTGGCACATTTCAAATTACTGTTTTTACAAATCGTGTCTTGTTTCAACTGTAGCTTGCTATGTCATTTTTCTTTCCATTAGTTGCTTTTGGTAGAAAAAAACTGGATAAAACAAATAAGGAATTGACAGCCCAAACTACAATTGTTCATCTATGACCTATGACTTATTCAATAAATCATTGTTCAAAACACTAAGCTTATCATTATGGATGAATAATCCTGTTACTGTAATGAATGGTATGTGGGAAAGACCTTGGAAGACTAGCAGAGAGATGCTGCCAAGGGAACAGTCAGAGAAAAGATAGCATGGCCCGCAACTGGATAGTAGGCGGGGCAGAGGCTCAGAAGAGACCCTCTCTAGTTTCTTGGGCTGTAAAGGAGACAGGGAGGAGGATTGTACTTTCAGACTTGCAAGATTCTATCAGTGTAGCTTTACAACAAAGTAGAATTAGCTCATCTAGTTGTGATTCCTATCTGTTTTGCCCCAAGAGGCCAATACCAATCTTGCAAGTCTCTAAGTACAATCCTTCCCCATCTCCATTACAGCCCAAGAAACTAGGGAAGGTCTCTTCTGAGCCTCTTCCCCCACTTACTATCCATTGTGGGCTATGCTATCTCTTATCTGACCATTCCCATGGCAGCTTCTCTTTGCCCAGTCTCCCAAGGTCTTTCCCACATACCATTACAGTGACCATCTGAATACTTTACACAATTTTTCATAGAGAAAAATAAAATCATTCTGATTTGTACAAAGTTTTAGAAATGTTGGGCCTTATCATAGCTAAGATACTCAGTATACCTTCTTATTTTATTTAGTTCATTTTTGCCTCTGGAAGAAATTGATAAGGTCTTTGGATTAGTTCATCTCACAGCTTAGGTCCCTTCTCAGCTTGGTTTACATGGGCCTGTAGTGATTATATCCTGCAAATTATTTTTGAGATTGGACACTCGGTAAAGCAAGTGGAGCTCCCCACCACCTTAAAGGAGACAATGGCACGTGCTTGTTTAAAAAGCTCTTTCTGCACCAATCTATTTTAACAACTATTGGCCGGTGTCCAGTAATTCAGTGAAGACAGTGGCATTGCAGGTCCAGGAACCTTTACATGAAATGGGTTATCTTGATCCTTTACATTCTGAATTCAGATCTGCCATAGAGGTCATCCTGATAGATTTGTACTGGGAAGGAGACTGGGGAGTGATATTTATGGATTTGAGTAGCTTTTAATATTGCTAACTACCATATCTTCTCATAGTGCTTCAGAGAATTAAGAGTTTATAGTCATTCCTTTCTTACATCTCTGGGTACTCTCAGAAAATGATATTCAGAGACTCTGTTTGACCCTTGAGAATTCTCTTAGGGATCCACAAAAATCTCATTTCCCATATTATTTAATATGAGTAGGAAGCTCCTGGCAAGGATCAGATATGAGTTTGGAGCAGTCACCATTAGTAAATGGCAGTACTCAGTTGTGTTTTTAATTTCCTAATAATTCAGGTTGGGCATTTTGAGGGCCTCCTTTTGTCTTCAAATTGCAAGGGACAAGATATGGAAGAACAAGCTTAAGCTGAATTCAGATAATTGGAACAGTTGCTAATTCTGAGTGTTAGACTTCAAGACTCAGATGATATGCCTGCTCTGGATTATATTCTACATTTCCTTTAAGGAGCAGTTTCTCCCTCTGGTTGTCCTCCTAAGTCCAGCACTGAAACTGTCCAACTATGTAACACTAATGCTAAGGGAGAAATTTTATCAATTTGGATGATAAAAGTGTTGTCTCCTACTAGTAGGAAAGAGAGTTGGCATAAAATTTGGTAAACTCTCATGTTTGGGTTACTGCAATGCATTCATCATGGAATAATCCTTGAAGATGGCTCAGAAATTGCACCTGGCACCAAATAGTACCCCTTACAGGTGCTACATTACTCCTGTCAAAATAGCTATGCTGGTTATCAGTTGCTTTTTAATGTAAATTCAAAGTGCTTCTTTGTGTACAAGGCTAAGACCCAAGTTATCTACAGGAGTACCTATTCTTTAAATCTGACCTCACGTCTTATGTCTTCAATGGAACACCTTTTGCAGGCCCAACCACTTGACTGTAATCTTCTTCAAGTTAAACCTGACTCCTGAGACAACATGAAAATTTCAATTTTGTTTTCATGAGAACTATATTGTGGAACAAATTGCTACTGGTGTCAAGTCAGACCCCTCATTACTACAGTTTAAGAGGGGCCTTAAAAAACTGTCTTACCCAGGCCCTTTTAGATTTCTTACATTTTTATTCTACTGTTCTTATAATTTCTTTGTATTAAGTCAAAAAGATCCATTTGGGTGTGGATGGCATAAACATTTGTAAATAAAATAAATGCACAAATAATATATCCTTTATTAACTGGACTCCCTAAGCATTTTTATAATGCTTCAGCAGGCCTCTAACATGTACCAGCAATAGCTTATTTATAGGATTTCTGATGAACATGGCAACCGTGATCCCAACAACATAATTTATACTTTAGTGTTTTCATGCTTTTCCAGAGAAAGAAAATGATTTTGGAGCCATACTGTTTTCAGTTCAGTTCAATTCAGTTGCTGTTTTTTTTTTTTTTTTAATGAGTCTGTCAGCTGGATATTTGGTTTCCATGGAAATCCTTTTAACAACTTACACATTTGAGCTCTGTAAAGAATATCTATAATGGGCAACAGAACATTCATTTAACAAGTGCTATGTGAATGTCTGCAAGGATGAACATGCCAAACTAGATAATTAATTAATTAATTAATAAAAGACTTTGATATTTACTAGCCAACATGCATGCAGAGAAAGTAGCCTTTTTTCTCTGAGCTCACAGCTTTACATTTCACAACGATTAAGAACAGGTTTCCCCACCTTGGCACTCTTCAGATCTGTATACTACAACACACAGAATACCCAGCCAGAATGTGAAAAGGTAACTGGAATTTGGAGACATACAGTCTACCATATCTAGAAAATTCATTTTATTTTTAGACCACATTCGACTTAAAAGCAAGGACGGCTTACATATGGTTTATTCCTTTATGTGCCTCTATCTTTACCAAGCAAGTTGCAAAGTATACAGATTCCCTGACTCTATTGGGTATACAAAGTAAAACAATAATTAGTTTATTCTCCTTGCATTTACAAAGTGACAGAATTTAATTTTTTAACTTTCCTAATCATATAGAAGTCAGTTTTAGGAGTCCTTATCTGAGACAGAGCCAGCTGGCCTTATTCAGTAACACCACTCCAAACAGGGTGAAATATAAATGGACAAAATGGAAAATCTTCTGAATAGCATCCTTATAATTGGGCTCACACAGGTGTGAATGATGAATCCACACAATATAAAGTCCATATTGCAATGGAAGACAAAGAAAAAGCAATCAGGCAATCTCCATATACAATAAAAACAACAACAAGAAACCAATGTGAATGATGAATACTTTTTCTTCTTATTTTAAGTATGGAGTTATCATATTGTTTTGAAAGTTACTTACCTATTTCAAAACTTTGAATTGCATCACTCAATGGCAGCAACCATAAATAACTTGGAAACAGTTTCAAAATACCAAGCTCATATTTAACAACTTGTCAGGTTAACACAAATGAGAAGTAACACCATGTAAGTGAAGAAGAAAGTTGCCATAATGCTTTATCTCACTGAGAAAGAAAGGAAAACCTTCCTTTTCTGTAGTCAGTATTAAAATGTAAATCAGACTATTAGCCTTTCAGAAAAATAATATATATTTTTCCAGACTAGCAACTTTCACAAGTCTATTTACAAAACAGATATATACTGTGAGCAAAACAGTTAATTCAGTTGCATTCATCAAGACCTTGGAAGCCACCACTGTTACTCAACTGTATATCAAGTGATACACAAATCTCTAACACAAATTAACTGGATTTTAATCTCTGACAAGCTTTTCTACATAAGCAGATTATAAAATATGCTTCATTTCATTATTTAATGTTTTTTATTTATTTATTTATTTTTATACTTCTAACTCTCCTACCTGATATTTGGCTGTATGAGTTCAAATCTTTCTCTAGTAGTCCTTATCTACTTAAAAGATATCTGAATAAATCCACTATCTACTATCTAATATAATATAATGTTAACATCATATATGCTACTATTTTCCAAGGTCTTATAGAAAAGGTGAATAAGCCCAGTAAGTCTTAGTTATGCAAATCATAGAGATGTATAATGTAAAGGTAAAGGAATAGATAAGCAGACAGAAAAGGTAAAATAAAAATGTAGGAGACAAGATGGTGGTATAAAGCCATAACAGGAATGGCTCACCTGGGGATTTTGTTGAAGAGCATGTACTGGAGTAGTGGCCACCCCTCTTTACTGTACTCATTCAATTGATAAAAAAGAAAAAGAAGAAAAGTTATTCATAGGTGAGAAGAAAAAGATGATAAATAGAAGAGGGGAAAATTCAACTATTTGTTTTCCAGCAAAGCACATAGTAAACCTATGTTTACTACCACATATAGTCCTCCTTAAAGTAACATAAGAACTAATTTAAATACACATTAAAATAAACTGCATTATGGGAAAGAGTAGGGATGTGCAATGTCTCAAATTCAAATTATTTCAAGTTAAAAACAGTCCATTGTAAGTGTGAAATGGAAAGTTTCAAGTATTTTTAAAGTGCTTCAAGTGTAACCATGCTACGGGAAAGGTGAGGAAGTCAATTTGGAAATAGGATAAAACCATGACCGTAGCAGAGCATACAAACTTTCTGAGGAATAACTTTAATTAAGGTCAGTTTAACTTTATTGTCAAACAATACTGACTCCTATGTTGTCAAGCAAACTACATTATGTATCATCTTGGTCCTTATACTTGAATTTAGTATACATATGATATTTTTGATATTTGGCTTCTTTATTACCTTAGAACTGCCCTCCAACTTCTTAAAACAGACTTTAATAATGATCACTCTTGTGTTTACATTCTCCACAACTTCTGATGTTGAGAAGCTGTTGCCCAGCCCATTGTTCTCCACAGATAATTATACTCCAAATCAAAACTTCTGGAAGGACATTGTCCTAATCAGTGACCTCTTATAGGAAAGAGACAGAGAGAGTGTGACTGTTGATCCTGCTTCATTTCATCAGCTTTTGATACTGTTAACCACTGTCTCCAGTTGGGGAATGGAGGCTTGTTGTACAATGGTTGCCCTCTTACTTGCAGGGACAATCTTAGTAAATAGTATTGTGTACTTGTGCCTCTACACCTTGGCAGCTCTGTTGTACAATAGCACATTTTGTCCCTAGTTCTTTAACCCTTATATAAAACTGCTGGAGTTGGTTATTGTAGGTTCTGGAGCTAGATATCGCTACTACAGAGATTTATTAATTTATTTACTCTATTTTTATATCATCCCATTGCTAAATGAGTTGTGATGGTTTACCCTTTAAAGCAACACCATTTATCTAAAAACAATAGAAATGAATTCATTAATAAATAACATTAATATTAAAATATAAAACTCATAATCATAGTAATTACTAGGTGTTCTGAATGACAAAAGGCCATTCTGGGCAGCCTAGTTTTAGCAGCTTTTCTGAAAGTCAGGAGAGGGGTTGCCATCTGGATATCAGATGGAGAATCATCTGGAGAAGATTCCAGAGGGTTAGTGCCATGACTGAAAAGTACATATTTATTTCTCTTCTTTGAATTTCCAGTGAGAAGAAACTTTCAGTATATCTACCTGGTATACTGAGTGGGCAGATTTAGATTTACATGTGTTATGTTTCTCACTTGCTAACAAGTGGACTGCTGCACTTTGCACCAACTACAGCTTCTGAGCAGTCTTTAAAAGCTGCTCCATCTAGAGCATATTTCAGTAATCTGTATAACAGGTGCCAGGACATGAGTTCTATCATCAAGGCTTATTTCTCCAGGAAAGGTCATAAGTGGCACACTGGACTGAAGCTGGACAAAGGCTCAGCCTCATTATAACCTCGACCTGCATATTTTTTTTCTATCCATAACCTTATAGCCTCCAGACCACAGGTCAAGACTTTCACTGTATCAATGGCTGGGCCCAGGGTACAGATATATAATAACAATAACAACAGAAAACAACAACCACCCCAGTGAGGTACTATCTTGACATGGTTGTACGGTTTGCATGCTCCGAGGAGGATGAGAGCTATACCAGAGGTTCAACCATATTGGACAGGTCTAATCAGAGGAGCCAGATGAAGAGTGCCTCTCCCATAAAAAATATGGTGAGACATAATTTACAGAAACCTATACCAGATCAGTCATTGCCAAGTCAACAAGGACCATGCTAGGTATTGTAGTTTTGGACATCTGGTGACAAATAGACTACAGGACTTAGGACTGTAAGCTAAGCAACCAGGGCCAGCAGCTGCAGGACCACTGGAAGAAAAGTTGTTTACTCATCGCAAATACACAAAGATTGAAAATAAACAAATAATGATTTGCTAATACAAATCCTCCAGTAGTAATGTATGGCTGTGAGAGCTGGACCATAAAAAAGGCCGAGCGCTGAAGAAT